TGCCACAAGTTCCTTTATCAGTCTAGCTTTCTTTATGAGTTATCAAACTTAAATTGGAATTAAAATAACTTCACAGACTCTTTCTGTTTCCTTTGAAACCAGTGATGGCTTTATGCAGGGAGAAAATAAAAAGCTGATCTCCTAAAATGCTAAAACTGCCAAACAATGAAAAGGGTGCCAGATTTTATCATTATTATTATTTTTTAAATCATGCCGTTGCTGACTGGGTAAGAGGAGAAGGGGAGGAAAGGATTTCATCTGAATGGGCACGTGTAGACTTAAATCAGTTACAGTCAAATGCTAGTCAGACCATAATAATGCAAGATGTCAAGTTGGACCGATAAAGTGGGGAAACGGATGAGCTTAATAACTTTCAAATCCTGGACAACCTTACAAAATGGAAGGAACTGTATTTATTATATATGTATATGTGTGTGTGTGTATGCACGCGCGCACATATATATGTACACACATATGCACATGCGTGTACACACGTATTCCTTCCAAAGTCATTAAAAATAAGTTAGGAAAAAGGAAAATTGTAAACCATTCAGATGCTGACAACTGAAGGAGCTGTCAAAACTGCAACAGAGATAGGGGTCTGGAAGCTTAGCAAATGTCACAGTGTTTCGCTCTTTTCTACCCATTTCCTATTTTGGAGCAAAAAATATCTTGTACATCATAAAGATAATAAAGGATTTTAAAAACCTAGCATAAGCATAGTTAGAACACTGTAATTTTCAGAAACACATCTAACTTTAAAGCAAAGCAGGATGGTTATAGGAAATGCTGAGAGAATCTTTGGATTTCTACTCTCCCTCCCCCCCTCCGTTCACTTGTGTTTCTTCCTTATGAACCTTGGCTCAGTTCAGCTATGCTAGTTACTTTGCCTCTTCCAGTTCTTTTACCTTATCTCCCTTTGTGCATGTGTGTTTTAATATTTTGACACTCTGCTTCCTACTTATAGGAATTCTTTTCTAGAAGCGGTGCATATGTTGTCTAAAGGAGTCTTTTCACAGCACTCGTATTTCTCCCCCCCCCTTTCCCTTTTGGCTCTAAAATTATGTATATGTAATTGGTAATTAAAGGTGCAAGCTCTCTTCAATATAAACACTATTGCTCAATGTTAGATCATTAAAAGGAACAGAAGCACTAAATAATTACCTTTTGCATTGTGACAAACCGTTCGCACAGAAATCCACTCACTTTCCGCTCAGCACCAGGGTTATGATTACATTTTCACGATGGCAAAGAGTCTTTTCATAAAATAAATTGGTAAATTAATTATGTTGCATTGTCTACCGGCTGCTTTTAAAGTAAACTTAGCGGAAGGGATGTTGGGGGGGGGGAGTAATTAATGGGTTTCACATACTATGCATTATGCCTAGAGTTGAGTTACCTAGTGGATTAATTTGGCTACAAGTAAGTACAGGCGACTCAAAAGCTCTCCCTTGTGCATCTTCTATTCTTTAGGTTGCTTCTTGTTCATACACCACCAGTGACAGTAAGGAGTGTTAGCATAGGCTTAATCTGAACTGCTGTGAATTACAACAAGGACCAAGTTCTGATGCACTTCTTTTTCGTACGTAATGTACCTACTTAGTGGGCAGTGATGCAGTTTATGATATGTATGATTCTTGTGCTAATTAGCAGGGGTTTTTTCTTTATTCCCAGGAAGGGAAACTAGATTTGTTTTGACCTCTGAAATAACTGTTATCTCTGGCTGAAACTGAAATTAGCCTGTTAGATGGCAACTTCCCGTCCTTTATTTTTTTTAAAAATAATTAAAATAAATGGCAGTTTAACAAAAATACATACTTAGGCAAAGTTTTGTTCCGTTCAGCGATTGCAATTCAGAATTATGACAAACCTTTTACATTGTCCTGCTGCTTTTAGATCTCCAGGAAATTTGGAAACAAATCACCAATGCCAGTATTTCCATGTGTTCATTTTCCCCCCTGCTGAGCTGTAGTATTCCCATCTCCAGATAAAACTTCAGTGGCTCATCTCTTTTATTTACATGCTGTTAGTTCTCTGTGTATTGATCGGGCCAAATGATAAAATTTTTGTTCAAAGCAAAACCCCGCCAGCCAATGGGAATTGTGCCTGATTGAAGACCATGTTTCGTGTGGTTTTTCAATTAGGCTGCAATGGAAATAAATATGAAAAAAATGAAAATAAAAGTTCAGTGCACAGCAGCTTCTAAATTAGTGGCTTTGAGTGCAATACTGGCTTAAGTTTTCCCAGTCTCCTGGTTATTCATAGAGAGGTGTCACATAGACCTATTTTGGCATGTACAAGAACATTTCCTTTTATATGATCTGATTATCAAATTGTTGGCTTTCCTCCAGATCACTTACATAAATGAGGATCTACAGAATTTGTAAGCAAGCTAACACATGGCATGAATATGTATCTGGAAGTCAACTTCCCCCAAGAAGCTGTCTTGTGATTTTTAGTATTTTAAGATATTCTCGATCATATTATGAAACAGAGGCTCTAATCCTTTATGCCTTTACTTAGAAGTAAGTTCCATCGTATAAATTAGAATTTACTTGGAAGTAAATTTGCACTGGATTGCAAATTAACTTCATAAAGGAAGCCACTTCCTTGAATTTACAAGAGCTGAACAGGGCTGTCATGGATAGGACATTCTAGAGGACTGTTCACTCACATGTTTGCCATAAGTCGAGATGATTTGATAGCACGTAATAGATTTGCATAGGTTTGGGCTGTAAGTTGACTAAATGAATTTGGACTCACATGCACATTGCTACAATATATTTTAAAAACTGGATTGCTTAAAAGTTGTCTCTTTGTACAGGTACTTGCCTGTGTTCTTATTCTGAATGGGTAACCTGCTGATTAAAATAAAGGAATTAAATGACAATTCAGTAGAAGCAACAGATAGTGAAAAAAATGAAAAAGAAGAGTAGTAGAAGGGGATGTGGAGAAAGAAAGTATGTGACAGTGAATAGTCACTACTCAACAGGAAAATGCCTGGGGGAGAATGTGCTGCATGGCACTGTAATACCTGAAAAAGATGGATCCCGAAATCCTGTGTGTAGTGGAGGTGAAGAAAAAGATCATGCATGCTTGAAGAACTTTAGGCTTAGAACCTGTACCCACTACTCATATGGAAACCTGCATATGTGGCATTTTTAATCTGCATATTTTGGCCCCTCTAGACTGTGCAATTAAAAGCCAGCCAATGTGTCGGATCCTAGCCAAAGTGCATCCTTTTCTTGATGGTGGTATTATATTTCCCGACCTCTGCTGAGCACTGTGGAGATGCTAGTCATTGCATGGCCCAGATGGGTACCACTTTCTCCAATCTGAATGTGTGGGAAGTGGAGGAGAGAAAGGATAGTATGTGGTTGCTAGGCCTTGCATAAGACACACTGCAAGCTGCCACATGGCTTCAGAAGACAACGTGGCTGAAAGAACAAAAGAGGTCTGTTCGTCCTGGTTGTAGCTCCTGTGGTGCATTCAGGCTTTCTTCGTGGGTGGGAGTTTAAAGAGGTTCTTCTTGCTCAAGGCAATCCTGAGAAGCCACACCTGCATTTTCTTACCTTTCAGGAGCTTGCAAACACCTATGATAGAAGGAACTTGTTCCTTAAGCTGGTTTTGCCCAGCTAGGAGAGGCCTGCCTCAGGTAACATTTCTGCCACCTTCTTGGCAGTGGTGATGCAAGGGCATTGTCCTTGGAATTATCTCCTGGCATTGAGAGAGATGGACTCAAGGAGCAGCATGACACTCTCCAGCTTTGGTCATATTGGAAGTAGAGCAGCAGACGGTCGACGCTGCCTTACATTTGTCTGTTTTCCACCTTAGGCAAAATCTGCCTTCATTGCAACTGAACGAGCCTTGTGCAATAGGGTTAGTTTCACTTGAACTACACACAGCAGAATTTCCTCACCAAATCTTTGGGGACTTATGCTTATCCTTCCCCAGAAGCCTTTTCCTGCTGATCAGACTTGACCAATGCTAACTTGTTTCCTTCCAGTCCCATGACTATATTTGTAAGACCAATCCTGCCTTTTCAGTGCTTCCACAATACCTTTTGCAATTGGTTAGGTCGTGGCTATGGAGTGTGTGTGATAAACACATGTTGGAAGGTGGGCTGGTTAAATGAAGCATTTCCACAGCACATTGTTTAAGCAATGAAATTGGCTACCATAAGATATAGTAAGGCCCATCAATTTGAATGGTAAGTCCATGGAGGAAAAGGCAATCAGTAGGTACTGGGGAACAGGGGTGTAAGAGTGCTGTTGCATTCCTGTCTTAATTGTGACTTTCCTGTGGGCTTCTGGTTGCCTATTCTGTGAGCAAAATGCCGGGTAAGACAGAGCATGTGTCTGGTCCAGCATGTTCTGCTGTTACATGAGCAGGCAGTAGGAACATGAAGAGGAGCTAATCTGCCAATGTTGGAATGCCAGTACAGGATCCAAGGGCCTGTTTGCAAGGTCTGTTTAAGAAAAAGCCGTATAAGTAGATTTACAAGCTGTAAATACATTTTAATCTTAATCAGCATCACAGCATTGTTTCAGTTTCCCAGAAGAAGAAACGGAGACAGAGATTCAGAGAATGATGCTTAATAAATCCATAGATAAATTGTTGGGACTTATGCAATGGTCTAAGTCCATCCCTCATGGATACTGCTCATGCTTCTTCATAATAAGTCTTTACTGTTACTGGTACATTGCTGTGGGGTAGTTTGAAGGAGCATCAGGAAAGCCACATCAGATATTTCTACTATTTTATTTTTTAGACAGACTTGGTTGCAAAATGTATTTAAATCGTTCGTGGAGACGAGTAGGGAGGGGAATAGATAAAAGATACAATCAGGCTTTAAGCAAATCCTGTTCTAATCCAGGTTATATGAATATTTAAACAAATTGCTCTCAATTCTTTTCCTTTTCTTTCTTTCTTTCTTCCTTCTTTCTTTCCCCCTTCCCCTCCCTCCGACCCTCACCTTCTTTCTGCTTACCCACATAAAGCAGAGGCTGACCATGTGGAAACGGCCATCACCCATGAGGATGACAGCCTAGCCATAGGAGAACCAGTTGGGCTCAGCCTTGCGACGGGTGGAGCAGACCCCGACCTATTAACCTGTGGACAGTGTCAGATGAACTTCCCCCTGGGAGACATCTTGGTTTTTATAGAGCACAAGAAGAAACAGTGCAATGGCGCTGGTGGTACCTGCTATGAAAGGAACCTGGATAAGACCAGCCCTCCCCCTTCATCACGCTCCGAGCTCAGGAAAGTGTCAGAGCCTGTGGAAATTGGGATCCAAGTCACACCCGATGAAGAAGACCGTCTTCTCACGCCTACAAAAGGAATTTGCCCCAAGCAGGAGAACATTGCAGGTACAACATGTTTTGCATTAAGTTGACTGCAGAGGCAGCCTCTTTCTCTCTCTTCCTCACCTGCTCTCACTCTTTTCCCCACACCAGCCCTATCCTTTATCGTAAAATCGAGAGAGAGAGACTTCTTGACAGTCCTGCAAACATAAGGTTTCAGTAGCAGAAATTCATAAACTTGCAGCATACCTTGATGACCCGACCCTCTGTCTCGCAGGTCTTAGAGATTCTCTTCTATGAGGGTTCATTGGGCTCCTTGGACTGTAGAAGACCCTCTCTGAGCATTCTCACAGACAACTGTTAGAGTAGGCCATAGTCTGTGTCAGCATGAAAGATTACAGTGCTCCCTTTTCGCTAGTGTGGTATTCCACTGGGAACATAAGATAGGACACCAGGGAAAGTCAGGTGTCTTCTCCAGAAAGAGAAGCATCTCCTTGTCCCGTGTGGAAAATGAACCTCTTGGATTGGATTGTCCAGACTGGCCTCCTGCTGTAACCTCTTGGCTGTGGATTGGCATGCTCTGTCACAGCTTCAGTTGCACTGACTGAGTGTAAGGACTGGAACAACAGTTTGAAATTTTGTATTGGGAAGTGCTCACAGAGACAAAACATGAGGCCAGGGAACAGAGATGTTAATATTATAGATTTTTCTTTCCTGAAAAGGTATGTCATTTCCGGGTGCCATAGGTTTCTAAGCTTTAGATTTAAAAAAAATTACACTCCCACACACATATACAAACTTGAGAAAAGTAGTTGAGGGAGCCTTTCCTCGGCCTAGCTCTGTCTTGCTATTTCCTTTAGGGTAATTACCAACCCTCAGTGTCAAGGCATATGTATTTCTGGACCAAGCAAGAAGATAAGTCTTGCTTAAATTGTGAGCTGGCTCATTGAGGCCACTAACATAAATACATTCACTTTGTCTGTATGGCACAGCAGATATACCACTATGCAGTTCTGGGGGAAAGGAAAGGGCAGGTGTCTTCAGTGGAAACTGAACTAGAGCCTGGATAAGGAGAAGTTTGGGCCACAGTTGTAAAACAGTTTAACTTTCTTGGTTCTATCTGGTCACTCTGGTTATTGTAGCTCTTGTGAGAGGTCTAGGGATCTCAAAGAGGAGTCTTCTCACCTTCACAGATCTAGTATTGGTAGGTGTCCACTCAAGCAAAATTGGTTTAAAATTAGTTTAGACATGTGTTGGAGGCAGAAAAATAAGAATCTAAGTATTGAATTTGCAAGCTGAACTGTGGCATTCCTGCCTCATATCACTGGCTTTGTGTAGCTCCTAAGAAGACCTGTAGTTTCTGAGATATAGATGCCCGAAATATTCCTAAATCTGGAACAAAAAGAGTGTGGGTGGAGGGAGAAGGAGCAATTCTTTATTAATGCTTAGTCCAAAATATAGTTCCTGCATGTATAGAATTTGGGGGTGGGGGAACATGAGCCTCTCTCAGGTTGGAAATAGAGATGTGTGCAGTATTTTCATTTCTAAAGTACTTGGACATTACAGTGAAATGGAATGTGTAGGTTAAAGCTACCCTGAGGCTGTGCTCAGCCTGCACTTACTGAGCAAGTGACTGCTGGTCTCATTACAGGGGCGTTACAAGAATGAGGGACGACCTCATCCTCTTGGATGAGCTGCTTGGAGAAAAGGCCTTGCACTGCAGACAAGGCAAGAGAAAGAGTTTTATGGCCGTAAAATGTGCATTCTTCTGGTTGCAAACCAAACAAGCTATTCCAAACTTATTTGGATGACTGGGGAATCTTTTGTAGCTGAATACATTTATTTTCTTTTTTTTCTTTTAAAAGGCTACCTTTAAGGTATGCATCCTCCCAAGGGTTTTTCTAATAAAAGAAAAATGATAAAACAGTAAAAATCAATAGAAACAATAAAATGTTGGCAATTAAACCAGCAGCCTGAAAAGGAAATGTGGGTCTTTAGAGCTTTCCTGAAGGCCTGTGAAGGAGAGTCCTGACAAATTGCTTATAACTGTCTTCTCTAACCTGATGCCCTGCAGATGTTTTGGACTCTAGCTCCCAGTTTATCTGACCTTTGGCCATGCTGGGAGGAGGTGATGGGAGCTGAAGGCCAAACAGTCTAGAGGGCATCAAATTGGGAAAGGTTGGGCTATAACACTGGAACAGAGAATTTGGTGTTATAGATGTATATACTTTTAGGGTTGGGAAGTAACTATCTTTTACTGCCATTGAAACTTTTGGATATCAAGTAATAGCAACACCTTTTCCTCTTATACAAAAGGTGCGCACAACCTTATTGTGCATGAATGCTCATTTGCTCACTCTCTTGTGCGCTCTCGCTCTCTCCCTGCTCTCCCCCTCTTCCCCCCTTCTCTGCCCCCCACCCCCAGCACATGGCTGAGGAGCTATAACTTACCCTCCTGGCTGATGAGATCTAAGGATCTGGTGTGGGAGATTCACCAGGTGTGGCTGAGGACCACAAGTCTCGGATAGCAAAATATACATTAGCTTAACAAGACAAGAAGGTATTTTTACATGGACATCTTATTTATTTTGCAGCGGGTGCAATGGCTGTGTAAATAAACTGTTAGGCTGCAAATCCTCATACAACTCAGCAATTATGTTAGCCATTTGCAAGATTGCATAATGTGTTTGAGGTCAGTGGATGGAGTACCCGAATTTTTCCATATGATGAATTCCATTATGGACTGCGGAGTTCAGTTTCTTTCAGAACATGGCAAGTCTGTAATGAAAACATAGTCGAACCTTAGAAGACAAAGACTAGATTGAGCACCGTTTCTGTTGGTTAAGACCAAGCATGATGATGTCCATCCTAGAGGTTTGTCCCTTCTTGGAATTCAGCAGAAATTAAAAGTGAAAGTTACATTAGCAAGTTCCTGCAAATGGCATAATGTACACGCATTGCTTGACACAAAGATTGGAATACCTTCGACATACGTATGGGTTTTTTGGAGGGGGAGGTACAAAGCATGCATAGCCTTGAAGAAAGCTGCTTGTTTGTTTGTTTCCAACAGCCAAAGCATGCTGTTGCTTGTAATTGTCATCTAATGATGAAGGCCAGGTTTTGACCGCAAGGAGTCTCACAAGAGGGTATCAGTGTTGTGTAGCTGCTGGTATCAACCCTTTCCCCAAAAGTGAAAACAGCAGTGCTAGGGAGGTTTGGTAGGTATGGGAGATCACAGATGTAGGCAGGGGGAGTTTAACCCCCCCCCCATAGTGAGGCTTCTTTGAAGCTGCATTTTGTATTGGGGGCAAATCCTCCATTGCCCCAGTTTCCTACCAATGCAACTAACAGCTTTGGGAGAGACATTTTTGTTTGGATTACAGCAGGGGAGACTCCTCCACTGTGACCCTGATAACTGCCATCCCCAGTCCTCCCAGCCAGGACCAGGAGCTGTATGCCTTTTTAGAAATGTGGTCTCTTTCATTCTATGCTGTGATCAGGAAATGGAACTCAGAATAGAACTGCATGGAGAGTAGTATCCTTTGCTCTTCACGGCTGAGGATCAGCAAGAACAGGTTTAACTCCTTACCATGATGGGGTCTTTGAGAAAGCAATCGTTTCTTTTTTCCTACAGACACCAACACTTGCCATTTGCTTTTCTGTGCAGGAAAGTAAACTGTTGCACTTGGTGTGTGTGTGTAGGCTCATACATGCATAGGCATGTGTATGTATGTTCTTTCTGACTCAATCTCACGCACACAGATGCTTCCATGGACTCTTGTAGTATTAAGCCCTTCCTTGCATACACTTTCTACCTGTCACGTTGAAAGGCAGTTTGCCAGCAATTAAAATTAGGTAGTTGCATAGATCATGGGATTCGTGTACTCCCTTCACCCCCCCCCCCACTTTTGGTTTAGGTTGCTTTGGCCATGTTGTTTAGGTTGTTTCTAGGGAAGTTCTGCCTTAATAACTATAATAAGCACACTAAAAAGTTAAAAAAGCAAGAGCAGAGCTGGAGGTCTTAATCTTTTTCCATGCTAAACCAAAGATCAAATGGAAATTGAGCTGGAAATTTTGAATCTGCAGATCAAGTAATATAAAATGGGTGGTTCGTTTGATTTCTGTATGCAAGGTAGACTCTCCCTGGTAAATATGGCAGTAGTAAGACTTTCTTAAATTAGGGATTGAACTCTTTGATAAAAGGGTTTGCCATGTCTTCCTCTTTAGCAGAGGGGTTTTGCTCACCTTCCCCTTCTCCTCTTCCCTTTTCCCCTTTCGTTCCTTTCTTTTGTTCTTTTTTTTAAATAGCAGAGGATAGTTTTCAATAGTAGGATAAAAGCTTCATATTACAGCCATGGAGGGTAGCCATGGAAAACTCCCCCCACAGAAGTCATTCACTGAAAAGGCTTTAGTGGGATATACCGAGTCCCTTATTTATTTTTCAATAGAAGGGCTTTCTGCATTAGCCAAGAAAATCAGAATCTGTATTTAACACTAAAGGTATTTCCCAGTGAGAGGCTGTAGAGCATTGTTGTTAGATTTGTTAAAAAAAGAGACTAAATACGATTTCATAAAAGGGAAACTTAATCTCTAAGGCAGCTTTCTCCCCCCCCCCTTTTTTTTGTGGTAATAATGCAACAGCCTATAATATTTTCACTTTCTATGCGACGAAAGATATTCTTAGCTTTTTCTGCGCTGCGACAGGAAGAATGAAAATTTCTTTATTCCGCCAAGAAATATGTAAAATAATCCTTTAGAAGAACGGGGGAGATATGTTTGTTCAAAGCATTTAAAATGTTATTTTAATCAAAGGCACAAAACAGTCGACATGCTATGTCAGCTAAAAGGAGACTATTACATTTGAACTGCAAACTGCGCTCATCTTTTTATTTTATTTCCCCCAACCAACCTCTTTCCCTCCCTTCTCTAGCACTTTGAAACATTTAAAAAAAAGAATAAAAAAAGAGAAGAGAAATAAAGATTAAAAGAATAAAGGGGGAAAAAACTTCAGTGGCTCAAATGTGTAAAAGTAATTTAATATGGCGAAAGCATTAATTATTTTAGCT